GATGGCATGAGGTGGAGACTTACATCATTGGGCGTGTTTTCTACTACTTCGGCTTGGGAGCAGATCAGGCTGAGAGATCGGCCTAATCTTCTCTTCGTGGCCATCTGGAGCGACCTTTTCACCCCTACCATTTCGGTGTTCCTTTGGCGCCTCCTCTTGCGCCGAATACCCGTGGATACTGTGTTACACGCGAGGGGGATCTCCTTCCCCTCTCGGTGTGTGTGTTGTTCTGAGACTGGACGTCATGAGACCCAGACCTTTACCCATCTTTTTCTAGAGAGTGAGATTGTGAGGAGAGTGTGGGAGCATTTTGCCACTTGGACCCATATATCCCTACCCACTACAAACAGTTTATTTGAGCTCCTGAGTTTTTTCTCACAGAGCACACACCTTAGACACGTGGGCTTCCTCATTCCTTGTCTGATCCTTTGGTTCACCTGGACGGAGAGGAATAGTGCGAAGCATAGGGATATTAACTTTTTGTTTTCTCACATTGTTTTGCAGGTAGAGAGACACATTTCACTCCTCATAGCATTGGGCAGGCTCAGGGCCCGAGACTGGACAGGCTGCACGCCACCACACCGCTTCATGGTGGCTCCCCCACCGCCTATTCAGCCCCCTTGGCCCAGATCTGTTGTTTGGCTTCGACCCGATTCTCCGTGGGTCAAGCTGAATACTGATGGCTCTTTTGATCACCATACCAGAGCTGCCGGAGGAGAGGAGGCTTGATCCGGGACCACAGCGGCGCCCTCATCACCGCCTTCCACGCGCCCCTTCAGGCCTCCTCGAGCTACGACGCAGAGATTCAGGCATTACAGATTGGCCTTCAGATTGTTGTCCACCTCTCTAGTCATATTTGGATCGAGCTGGACGCTGCGGCTATCGCCACCCTCCTGACTTCGGGCCATCAGGGCTCGTGGCAGATTCAGCACCTGCTTATGCGCATTAGAGCTCTATTTCGGTATGTCCATCACAGGATCACGCACATCTTCCGTGAGGGGAACAGACCTGCTGACTACCTTTCCAGCCTTGGCGCCACCATACCAGACCCACATACGTTTCAGACCGACACTGCTCCACTCTGCCTTCGCACGCTTGTACGGATGGACCAGCTTGGATATCCTTCTTTCTGCTTTCAGTAGATAAGTTTATTTCTTTCATTAGATTAGACTTTTTATTCCGGGCACCAGTTAGCCCGAAGACAGACTTTGTATTGTTATTTCTTTGTTTTTTTTTTTTTTTTTTTTTTTT